CATCGCTTGTCTTACCACAGGTCTCTTTCGGTGGCCCGTACTCAGCAGCCAGCACATGTACCATCCTCAGACGCCAGAGCCGCCTTGCCCCAGCAAGTGCCCATACAAACCACTCACCAGACAGTGAGAGCCAACATCTTCAAACAACCTCCAGCGGCCGTGCCGCGAGGACCTAAACATCTGCAAGGTTCCGCCTTGTCTGTGTGCACGGACAGACCCCAGCCCTTGCAGGAGACGTGGATGTAAACAAAAGTAGGCCTGCCATGTCCAGCAGGCTGATAACCATTGGTTGCCTTCAGATGGGAAAAGCGCGAAGTTCGGGTAACCTCCATCTGAGTCCTTTCCGGCCAATACCAGCCTTTACAAACCCTCAGCACGGAGCGAGGCCGAAGAAGGCTATCTTGGACTATTTGTCTGCCGGGGAGCAGCCACCAACAGCTGCTCTTCAACTTGCACTGTGCCGCACCACAGTCCTACTGCAAGTTCTTTGGCAACGGTTTCTCAGTAGCACCAGTCAATGAGCTTTACGACACTGATGCCTTTGGTTATTTGTGTCCAGGCAGATCCACCAGGGTTGGGCCAAATCTGTTCTACCTGATGCTACCTGCGAAGAATAACCTGTTGTGCTCAGCTTGCAGATCCCCGAAAACCAGCAAGCTTGGGCTCGAGCACACCGCTATTGTTCGGGACACTCCTGTCAACAACTGCAAGGATGCCGCTTGCAGTGCGACGTTGGCCTGCACTGTCTGCAGCGTGCCTGGCCGTTTTCCCCCGTGTTTCGGTCTCACCTTCGTTTTCCACACAAGTGAGCGAGGAACCCAAACTCACCTTAAGCACAGCCCTCAATCCAAATGAGGGTCGGTGGGTTTTGCTCACCCAGAGACAGCAGGAATCTCTGGTGAGCAACAGGCTAGCGTCACCCCTCAAGCAAATCGAGGCTGCAACTCTCACTGTGACCCAGAGCAGACTGTAGGCCACAAGGTTCCCTCAGCAACGCGAGGACGAAAAGCTAGGTGAATTTTACGTCTGCACGCTGCGTCGCGTAGCCACCCGAAGGGGCTGTTGGTCAAGGTGAAACTAAACTAAAAATTACCTCGCTTGAGGTGTTGCGTTCTCAGCTAGGCCCTCTCTCAGCTGCAACCCTCAGCACTTCGCGAGGCCGAACTTTGCCCTCCGCATGCATTGCTGTTGAGGCACTTGTTGTGGCATCAGCCTCCGTAAGTTTGGCTATCCGCACTCAGCACTGGATGTTCTGTTCGAGGCATTATGCCCTCAGCGCATGCGAGGCCGCAAAGTGAAACACGTGAGGTATGAAAGACAGCTACTCCAGGTTCGTCCGCAGCTCCGGCTTTCTCGCACTTACTAACCGTGCCTTGCAGCCTCCCCCAAAGTAGCGTCGCCCTGGCTTTCTCGCTCTTACTCACCAGTCGACCAATGAATGCATCTCACGCGGTTGCTTCATGGTAAAACTGCAGCTCGAGGTCCCGTCGTTCTCGCTCTTACTAGCCCGGACCGATCACTGCAGAGAAGCATTGACTGTTGTTCCCTCTGCGGAGGCGAGGCCGAACAACCATTCCGCTGCTTCAGCGCAGCCAGGCCCTCAGCTCCTCACTGAGCCAGGGCTATCTCTAGACAGAGTTCCCTTGCCAAGCCCTCTGTCTCTATGTGACCCCCGCGGCGCCACGTATAGGCTGCTGCTCCGCGTGTCTAGGTGAATTTTACTTTCCGAGCGGGCAAAACGGTCGCAGCTCCAAGGCTAAGTGAAAAGGAAAAACTACCAGGACACCGATCTACAGCAGAGACTACCTGCCTACAGAAAGTGTCGCCCCGCCACCCGCAGGTAACGGAGCAAACTGCTGCACGCGAGTCAAGCTGGACCAGGTGTCAAGTGCCAAAGCGCGGATGCCGAGAGAGCCACGAATTCAACGGGCATGCAGGCAAGTCCCGGCATCCTCCTTCACAGCACTGAAGCAAACACTGATTCTCCAATCTCTGGTAAAAGCGAATCCGAAGCTCAAAGACTGCAAGCTGCCAGTCAAGGCCCCATTCTCCTCGCTCTGGTTGAAATCGAATCCGAAGCTCAAGGACAGCAAGCTGCCAGGCAAGGCCACATTCTCCAAGCGCTGCCTGAAATGATGTCCGAAACTCAAGGACTGCAAGCTGCCAGGAAAGGCCACATTCTCCAAGCTCTGGTGAAGCAATGCCCGAAGCTCAAGGACTGCAAGCTGCCAGGCTCCAAGCTCCGGTTGAATCATATCCGAAGCCCGAAGCTCAAGGACTGCAAGCTGCCAGGCAAAGCCACGTTCTCCAAGCTCTGGCTGGAACACACTTCTAAGCTCAAAGGACTGCAAGCTGCCAGGCAAAGCCACATTCTCCAAGCTATGGTAAAAACATGCCCCGAAGCTCAAGGAGTGCAAGCTGCCAGGCAAGGTCACAATCTCCTAGCTCTGAATGAAGCAGTCTCCGAACCTCAAAGACTGCAACCCGCCTGGCAAAACCACATTCTCCAAGCACTGGTTGAAACACTATCCAACGCTCAAGAAATGCAAACGGCCAGGCACGGCCATTCTCCAATCTCTGGTTAAAAGCGAATCCGAAGCTCAAGGACTGCAAGCTGCCAGTCAAGGCCCCATTCTCCTAGCTCTGGTTGAAATCGAATCCGAAGCTCAAGGACAGCAAGCTGCCAGGCAAGGCCACATTCTCCAAGCGCTGCCTGAAATGATGTCCGAAACTCAAGGATTGCAAGCTGCCAGGAAAGGCCACATTCTCCAAGCTCTGGTTGAAGCAATGCCCGAAGCTCAAGGACTGCAAGCTGCCAGGCAACGCCACGTTCTCCAAGCTCCCGTTGAATCGTATCCGAAGCCCGAAGCTCAAGGACTGCAAGCTGCCAGGCAAAGCCACGTTCTCCAAGCTCTGGCTGGAACACACTTCTAAGCTCAAGGACTGCAAGCTGCCAAACATGCCCCGAAGCTCAAGGAGTGCAAGCTGCCAGGCAAGGTCACAATGAGCTCTGTATGAAGCAGTCTCCGAACCTCAAAGACTGCACCCGCCTGGCAAAACCACATTCTTCAAGCTTTTGGTTGAAACACTATCCAACGCTCAAGGAATGCAAGCGGCCAGGCATGGCCACATTCTCCAATCTCTGGTTAAAAGCGAATCCGAAGCTCAAGGACTGCAAGCTAAGCCACGTTCTCCAAGCTCTGGCTGGAACACACTTCTACGCTCAAGGACTGCAAGCTGCCAGGCAAAGCCACATTCTCCATGGTAAAAACATGCCCCGAAGCTCAAGGAGTGCAAGCTGCCAGGATTTTGTGATATATTCCCTTCATGCTATCTCATACAATTGAGCCTCAACATTTTGGATCTGCGCCAAGCTTTATAATATCCAACGCTCAAGGAACGCAAGCGGCCAGGCACGGCCACATTCTCCAATCTCTGTTTAAAAGCGAATCCGAAGCTCAAGGACTGCAAGCTGCCAGTCAAGGCCCCATTCTCCTAACTCTGGTTGAAATCGAATACGAAGCTCAAGGACAGCAAGCTACCAGGCAAGGCCACATTCTCCAAGCTCTGCATGAAATGATGTCCGAAACTCACGGACTGCAAGCTGCCAGGAAAGGCCACATTCTCCAAGCTCTGGCTGAAGCAATGCCCGAAGCTCGAGGACTGCAAGCTGCCAAGCAACGCCACGTTCTCCAAGCTCCCGTTGAATCGTATCCGAAGCCCGAAGCTCAAGGACTGCAAGCTGCCAGGCAAAGCCACGTTCTCCAAGCTCTGGCTGGAACACACTTCGAAGCTCAAGGACTGCAAGCTGCCAGGCAAAGCCACATTCTCCAAGCTATGGCACAAACATGCCTCCAAAAGTTTTGCTCGTGTGTTTACACCCCCAAAACAGCTTTAAAAATTTAAAGCGTTCTTGAACCCTTCCAAGTAAGCAACGTGCGCCTTATGAGCCCGCCTGATTGTCAAGTGGAATGAAGCAGGGCATGAGTGATTGCTTATTGGGACTTTCAAGAATTTTGGGGAAATTTGATAATCCTGCGTTGACAAGTCCTGCTGATCATGCACATACTTTGTGACCGGCTCGTGCTCTCTGGTTAAAAGCGAATCCGAAGCTCAAGGACTGCAAGCTGCCAGTCAAGGCCCCATTCTCCTAGCTTTGGTTGAAATCGAATACGAAGCTCAAGGACAGCAAGCTACCAGGCAAGGCCACATTCTCCAAGCTCTGCATGAAATGATGTCCGAAACTCAAGGACTGCAAGCTGCCAGGATAGGCCGAAGCTGGAGGACTGCAAGCTGCCAAACAAGCGCACACCAGCGTAAGTCGAAACCAATCCTTTACCAGGGCACTCTGCAAGAGTCGGCCGGGGTGGGAGCCGCGGCGCAAGGTGCGCGCAGATGTGGGGCATTCGGAGGCAAACGGGGCGCAGGTTGGGGACGCAGATGGGTGGGGCTGGACGCAGGTTGGGGACACAAAAGGTGTGGGGCTGGGGCGCAGGGTTAGGGCGCAGGTTGGGGATGCAAGTGGGTGGGCTGGCCCGCGAGCCCTCTTCTGGCCCAAGTCCAGGTTTCGGGCTCGAAACCCCCAACCTGGGCCACTTGTGCCACTTTCAGGGCGTTTCTGGAAAGGGCACTTTGGGGACAAAGAAGTTTTCGGGCGCAGCCTACATCCACCGGCCGATGGGAATAGGCACATTTACCAAAGCCCCAAACCAACAACAACCCCCAAGCCAATCCCAAGGTGAACCACCTAAACTTAATTGAAGGACAGGCGGGTCTGCCGGAAAGAATCCTTGCTTTTGGCCTTGGGCTTCCCCTTTGGTTTGGCTGGAGCTTTCGGCACATGATGAATCACGTGAGTCGTGGCCGCTGTGTCATTGGCAATCTCCTGGGAACGACGCTCAAGACCCTGCATCGCAGTTTCAATAGAATGATTTTTTGCGCTCTCTACATTGGCCATCGACTTCAATTGAGTTCCCGAATTGATCTTACGACCGAGACCTTTACAAGGGGCCTGAAGCAATGACGAAGCCGAAGTCGAAGCAACCTTGACAATGGCCAAACACTTGGTGCAAGTAAAGAAGGATCCCTTATTAAGCATGTCATGAGTTTCATGCACCTGCCAAATCGGCGGCACTGTGCCCACGATGCCCTGACAGGGGTTGGACGCCTTGCGATTAAAGACATCCTGAGCATTGCATTGCTCCACGTAAAGCTTGCAAACCGTGCACTGAATTGCGAAATTGTTCACGGCTTTGGACTCGCAGTCCCGCCAAACATGGCCCAAAGCAGGATCGGGGTTTGCAAGCATGTCTTTGAGGCGCTGCTTTTTATTGGGTTTGCAAACTTTTTGGCCCCGACATTGGCTTCACAAACTTGTCCCCCGGAATGACCTGAGAGGATACCCCTCTTTGTGATTCAAGACTGCTGCGCTCCAGCAGCCACGGGAAAGACTTGTCCTTTTTTCGCTGAAGGATGTACCCAATTTTCCGAGCCAAATGTAAACAAACGTCTTCACAAAGCCTATCAATGGCCTCTAAGTCAGGCTTGCTCGCGTCAGCATAAACCCTAGCTGCCCTCGAACCACAAAGCTCATCTACATCAGCATTGATAAGACGGCGCCACTCCGGGATGCCTCGTTCGGCAAAATAAGAAGCATCCTTGTGGCTGGGAACCCAGGTGATGTTAGCCCTAGACCGGTCAGGCCAAACTAAACCCCAAGGAACCGGGCCATCAAGTGGCGGCGACGGCCTGGCTACAACCTGCGTGACCGCCTTGCAGTCCACTGTCAAATCGAAGGAACCCGAAACCCTACTGAAAAGCTCATAGGCGGCTTGCTGCTCCGCACTGGCAACTGTCAAGGGCTGCTCCGGGAAACAAGTGATGCTCGCCACACGTTTGGGGCCATCGGGCTCGAGCTTGTAGGCCGCGCAGGCCCATGCCACACAGGCCGATCTATGATCCCTGGCTCCAGGGCCCCCTGAAGCATCCGAAGCAAAAACCAAAGAGTCGCTGTTGAGGACATGTCGATTTTGCCACAACCCGTCCACAACACAACCAGAGGAGTTCCATAACACACCCAACCTGGTAACGTCCTTGGGAACCAATCCTCTGAGCCAGAGACTCGGCCAAGGGAACTTTGCGCGGGCTTCACGGAGATGCGGAGGCAAAGGAAATTTATCAGAGATGAAGGGACAGCCCCACAAGACGTGTTGCAAATCAAGTGGGCAATTGCAAGCTGTGCACCACCCCGGCTTGGACCTGCTCAACAAAGCACCTTGCCACAACGCTTGCAGGTTAACGGCCATGCTTTTGTTGAAAAACTTTCGCTTTTGGAGGCGGTCCTGAACCGCAAAATCAACCCCCAAGTCCAGCGCATAGCACCCCTCCAGTTTGGCCACCCGCTGCAAGCGAGCCTCTTCCCACAGGGGCAGGAGCCACTGCCACACACGACGAGTGGCATCCAGGCTGGACCAATCGATCGTTAGGTGGCTGTCGCCCTTATGCCAGTGATGAGCTTGGGGCGCCTGAACACCGAGTTCACCAAGATAGGCCATTAAGGCCGCGAGCGGACCATTGACCCGCTTCCACGGGTGCTGTGCCGCAACAAGCCACAGCCAAATGCTGGCCCATGTCGAACGAAACTTGTCTGGATCTACACTTTGCCATCTGCGGAAGACCCTCGCAACGGAACGGACATGTTGCCTCAGCAAGGTTAAATGGGGGTCCTCACATCGACGCCGGTGAACAAGAAATGTAAGATCAAGACAACCTAACTTATGGCGACCAAGGTGTTTGGCAACTAAAGCGCGGTAAAACTTCCTCCGCTTCGGGCTCACTCCTTGGGCCTGGTGCCCCCAAAGCCCCGCCGAGCACAAGGATGCGCGAACGATCCGAATTAACGGCAAGCTTGTTTAACTTCCGCGAGCGCCCTGCCGCCTTCTTCCGACGATGCTCCGCCAAACCCAGCACTCGCCTGCGACCTCCTGCTGAGGTTATCCCGAGGTCCCTGTTCAGCGGCTTAACCTTCGGGTCTGTTGATCCCCGAAGCCTCTCAAGAGCCTTAGCCGCCTCCTTGGACGAAGCCACAAAACAAGTCTTGGAGATTGAAACCTGGGCACCCTTAGACTCCAAGTCCTGCCGAAGCCCTCTAAACAACTTAAGACAATCACTGGCGACATGAAGCGGGGACTTATTAATCGAATCCAAGGAAAGATCATCAATCCAAATGTCAAGGTTGCAAGCAGTTTTCTTAGAGGCCAGTTTCGCAGCAACTGGGTGGATGACAAGTTTTGACACCGAAGGTGCCGCCGGGCATCCTGCCAGGACTCCCCTGCCCGGCCATATAGGCGGGCACAGAGAGCCCTCAGACTGAACGAAACGAGGCCCCATGTAAGTGAGCAGGGCTTGGTGAAGGATCAAAGGGGGGTATTGAAGGGAAAGCCCGGAGTTGATGACGTCATTAAACAAGCACCGATCATAAAAGGTCTCCATGTCAAGAAACAGTGTTATCAAGTGATGCTTGCTGCGTCGCACCGTTTCCCCCAACATCAACCTGGCAAGGGCCACATCAAGGACCTGGCCCCCCGGGACGGCCTTGTCCCATTGAGCCTGCCTAGCATAGGCAGCCTGCCAATCAGCAACAAGTTGCCATCTCAATTTTACCCAAGCACGATATAAAATGTGCAGAAGTGCAATGGGACGCTCACGTTTTTCAGATTTGGGAAGTAATGCAATAAGCGCGAAAACCAGCTGATCCGGCCACGCAGCTTGCCTCTCACAGTGATGGAAAGAATCAAGAATGGCTTGCACTGCCTCAGCACTCAAGTGAAGCAGAACTTCGCACGTCCAACCGTCTAAACCTGGCGCCTTACAAGGAACCTTCTTAAAGAAAGAAACCGCCCGATCCAAAGAAATCGGGGGCAGTCTGCCCGCTTGCTCAATGGCTGCCGCCTTGAGAGATGCCAACAAAGCCGGATCGACCCCGTCCGGGCGCGACCACAAATCAAACCATTGGCGCCACCGAAGATAAATGCGTTCCTGGACGGGCGCATCAAGAAAGGGGCGAATGGTGATGACCTCTTCAGACTTAACACTTTTGAACAAGGGTCGCATACCCTTCAAGGAGGCTTGCCGGAGCCATTTGGCATAGGAGGCATTCTTCTCTTGTTGCCACTTTTTAAAATGAAGTTTATGCTGCCCCTTAGCAGTTTCAAGCAAACCCGGCAATGACCCAGCGTGCCCGTTATCAATCGTGGCCCTAAGCTCCGAGCAAAAGGCCTCAGCCTCCGAAGCATTACCATGCCACATGGCTTTCAGCTTCTGCACGGCCCGTTGGGCGAAGGGGCTGACATGGAAAGACCGAGAACAAGCCTCCAACCAGACCACCATACGATTCCAAAATGAAGCCTGCGCACCACCCCACCCAGCAAGCGGGGCCCTCTGAACAAGCAACGGCTTCCTTTGGCACCTAACCTGAGAACCCCGGCCTTGGCTGGCACTGTAAACGGAAAGCTCAACGTCGCGACTGAGGCTGGCAAACAGCGCACTTAAACCCGGATTCGCGACATCAACCCCAAGAAGGTGAACAGCCCTCTCCGTGTGGGCCTGCGCAGCTTGCTCACCCTGCTCATCAATGGCCAAGCGGAGCTCGAAAGGCCGGGGTTGCACCTGGGCTGACCCAATCCACAGACAAGGAGGCTCCGGCCGCCAAGACCGGCGCCAGCAAGCCATAGTCAATGTTGCCACCCCCGGCACATGTGGACTCACCTGAACTGATCCACCTGCCCTTAGCCTCCTGCTCAAGACTGGTTGCAGCAATGACATCAAAATCTTCGTTGAAATCCCCGGCCAAGAAATAGAGGCCCCGGACCGAGCGAAGGAATGGAATCAAGCTGGCCAGGATTTGCGCATTGAGGCTGCCCTGAAAACCCTCACCAGCCTTCAAGTAAACATTCACAAAGTAACAATCGACATCCTTCAACCTGAGGGCTGCAACTTGATAACCAGCACCGGCCTTGACAAAATGATGGACACACCTCAGGTTCAAGTGTTTGCGGAAACAAATGGCCAATCCCCCTGAGGTACCTCCCTTGCCTGTGGGATGGCCCGGGATGCTGAAAACACCATAGCCATGAAACCCGAGCTGGGCATCGATAAGATCAGGCTGTTCCGGCGAAAGATGTGTTTCCTGTAGCAACAAGATGGACGCCTTATGTTGAGCAATCCATGGGCACAGGTCCTTCCTCCAAGAAGTTATGTTGGCACTAATCACACGCAGGTCTGCTCTCAATTTTGGTGTCGACAGATTGGAAAGGGCATCGTCAATAGCCCAACAAGCCACACTCCTAGGCACATCCCCCGCCTGAGTTTCAATGGCGAGCTCAGCGGCCCTCCAAACGAAAGTGCCCTCCTGCATGAGACCTTGTTGCTCCGTCACCTCCACCGCATCAAGCAGGGCACCCTCATCCTGTGATAGGACAGCCTGTTTGACGTTTAAAAGCGCAGTTTGTTGGGCCATTTTCCGAGCGCAGCCTGCAGGGCGCACATCGGGTTTTACTTCTGCCAACTTATGCACCTGCGCACCATCGGCTGAGCACGCCGGTGCTTTCGTGCCTGCACCTGGTCCCCCAGGACCCCGGGCCAGCGACCCCACCAACTCCTCACACAAACTCCACTTCATGGCAAAAGCCTCCTCCTCCTGGGTCCTGGGGGCTCCCTGCACGGAACAACGGGGCTCTATTGCAGAATCAAAACCGCTGGTAGGAAATTCACTCGAATTGGAGTAATGGTAGGCCCTGGCAGCTGACTTAACAAGCGGAACCCTGCTATCAGCATCCCAGGCCTGAGATACACCGGCGCTCACATTCCCAACACCATGACCAAAACCCCGGCTGTGGCTCTGAACCTCAAGAAAGGCCTCGGCCAACCTTCGGCGCCTGTGCCATCTTCTCCGCGCTCGCCTGGACTGGGGCGGCTGCGAAAGCGACATTGGGGCCGACCCTTGGTTGAATGGCTTCTGGGCGATTACGGCAGACGTTGGGACAGCTGGGGCTTCAACATCAACCTGAGATCCCAGCCGAGGCCCCCCAAAATCCGAAGAAAGGAACTCAGAACCAAAAAACCTCGGCCCCGACAGGTCAGGACAGGGACGTCCCAACGGAAGCGCCCCACCTTTACCTTTGCTGGCCCCGGCATGCCAGGCAAGGATGCACCACTGGCAGAAGTTGTTCAACTGATGCACCGCCAAACGAACCTCCGTACCTGGGTTGTTTTCTGCAACGTTGCCGCATGCTCTCACAAAAGCCTGAACCTCTGGCACATGAAGGGCACCTAGGACCTTGCCACTTCCACACGCGCACAGCTCGGGCCCTGGGAGGTCCTGTGAACAAACTCCAGCCGAAAACCGATGCTGGCGGAGGTCCAGCCCGCTTGACTCCAAATTGAGGTTCGAATTGAGGTTCGGGCCCTCCGCATTGAGGGAAGCACATGGGTAAGGGCCAGGAATGATACCAACAACGAAAGGCTCCGGCCTCCCTTGCACTCCAGAGGATTCGGCGTGATAGCTGGCCGCACAGCTTGGGGCTGTCACGGCCTGGCCAACACAAAAGGTGCACAAGTCATACACAGCGGCATGCACCCCCCGGGGGCTCACATTTCTTGCGACAGCCAACGGGGATGCACAAAGCTCACAACGCGGTATCGGGCATGCAACGGAGTTCTCCAAGCTAGCAAATTCAATGGACTGCGCCCAATGCTGACCACTCTCTTGCCTCAAGCTGCCGAGCGAAACGGACTTGTCCGAAATGACATACGGCTCGGCATACTGAGTGTAGGGCCCGAACGCATCAAGCTGGATTGACGCAGGCGGCTGCTGAAAATCACTGTCCAATACATCGCCAGACAAAGCAACGGGTTCCTCCGCGTCATTGTCTAGCTCATTGCACAGCTGGAGCCGGGATTTAAGGGCTGAAGGCAGGCTATAATCAAGGAAATGCACAGGTTTGTCACAGCTTGGATCTGCAAACACAGCACTCCCCACCGACGCAAGACGGCCTACAACCCCTATCCCCGATCCCTAACCCTGCTGGGCACGACCCCGACTGCGAGACCGGTCCTTGCCTTCACCTGCAGGCATGGCCTCACCAGCCTGTCCCGGCCCTGTGGGAGCCTCCGGCTCTTGGGCTGGCAATGGCTTCGCTGCCGGCGCCTCAGTACGCCTGCGCTTCACAGCCTCCTCCAGCGCATCAATCACCCTCTGCTTGTAGTCATCAAGCTGGTCTACATCCATAGCCTCAACCTGCTTGGCAAGAGACTCTGTTGCCTCGGGCAAGGCCTCGGGAGTAGGAACAGCAGCAACAGACGACTGAAGCTCGAGCTGCAAGGAAGACACCAACTTCTGCCGTGCCTCCAAGGTTTCATTAATGACTTTCATGTCTGCAAGCATGCTGGTGAAAAGCTCCTTATGCTTATCCAAGCGCAACTGCAAAGAAGACTTCTTGAAGATAAGCTCTCGCAGCTCAGTTGTTGCAACCTTAAACTGTTTGCTCTTTTCACTCATCAGTTCCTGTGCTGTTGGAGGCTTTTCAGGGGGATCCTCAACAAGCTTGCGGATGTCAGCAGGCAGGGAACTCATGTGCTGTTTGCACAATGCAGTCAAATCAGGCTGCGGCTCCTCAGGGGCCTTGATGCCCAGCTGAATGAGAAGCGCCCGCTGTTCATCACTCGCAGAAGCAAACAATGCCTTTGCTGTTTCTACACGCACAGCCTCAGCTTCAGCACCGCCACTGGCACCATGTCCCTTGCCCGAGCCCCCTTTCCATGGCCTCACGCCTTCCTGCTTCGACTGGTTGCCCTTTCCTCCCAGCCCCGGCGGGGAAGCTGGAGGTCGCGGCTGCCAGCCAGCCAACTCGATGGCCTGCTGCGCCGGCCCAGGGAGAGAGTCCCACACAGTCACCAGAGCCCTCTGCGCGGCCCCCACAGGAGCGTTGCCTGCACGGTCCTTTGTGGCCTTGGGGCCCTTGTTCTTCCACACACGGGCCTGTTCACTTCGGTTCGCCCAGTCAGCACCTGCAATTGCATTGGGCTGCTGTGGCTTCGGCTTCGGCCACTGGCAACCACACTTCTGGCAAAAAGGATTCGCCCCGACACGATCCTGAAAGATCCAGCTGCTCGGCCCACACTTCTTGCAAACAAAATAGGCACGAGTCATGCCTGCCTTCTCTGCTCGGGTGCGATTGCTGCCGCTCTTCAAGAAAACTGTACTGCAAGAAAAGTATGGCAACAAAACTAAGGGCGTTTTCGCAAGCAAGGCCCTCAAAACAAAGTTCCCTTTTTCAAGAAAATCAAGCGGACTGTGCAAGCAAGATTGTTCAAGTGTTCAAGGGAAATGCAATGGCTCGACTACGCGCTTCAGTGTCGGCCCTGAGCCTCCACTGGAAGAGACCGCTACCCCGCCCAACCCTTGCTGGACAGCCAGCCTACGACCTTTACGGTTGCGGTTTGGGCCCGGTAGAGACCTCTAGGAAAGTAGGCCCCAAGGCTGGCCACGACGGCACTGCGTGCAGCGTTTTGAGCCACAACTTGAGCCAAAATGGCTACGGTAGGTGAATTTTACGTCTGCACGCTGCGAGGCGTAGCCACCCGAAGGGGCTGAGGTTAGAGGGTGAAACATACAAACTACAAACTCTGCACAGTGAGACTACCGGTACTAGCCCTCACTTCCCTCAGACATTTGTCGAGGCCGAAATCCATGCCCTCAGACCGTGGTCGAGGCCGAAATTCCCTCAGGTCTTGCCGAGGCCGAACTTCCTTCATTTGCACCCCTCAGACCAGAGTCGAGGCCGAAACTTCCTCAGGCAGCACGCCGAGGCGGTATTTCTTGAGTCGGTTGGTGCTTCTCAGACCACTAGCCGTGTTTCTTGTCTGGGCTACGCTGCTCACTCATCCGCTTCGTCATACGGCATGCCCAACGTGATTTTCTGGATCTCTCCTGCCGGTACTGCAAGTAGGGTTCCATCCCATCCTCGTTTGCAATCCCGGCATCCAGTAGGTGCTGGGCAAAAGGCCCGACATTGCCCACGCACGCCATCCAAAGCGCGCTGGCCTTTCCGTCGTACGTTCTGACCAATCCACGTATGGTTGCCAGTAGCTCCTCGTCATATTTCTCCAGGATGCGTACGAGGCCGCATGATAGCTTGTATTTCTCCTCCTGCAGCGTCGACCACTCAGCCGTGTCAAAGAACACTGCCCGTGGTAGCGATCCTGACATCGGGTCGCGCCCAACGTTGCTCACCGTGATATCCGATAGAGCAACCCCTTGCATGGTCAACCATGACGTTATAGCCACCAGGTAAAACAGGGACTGTCTGAGGACCCTGGCTTCTTGACGATGTTCCTGCCACCATGGGTTGAACAGTTCTGCTCTGCGGATGATACTTCCATAAAAGTAGTGGTGGTAGTGGCCCTCCACCGCCTCGTCGAAAAGGACTTTAATCCATCCTGCCCACAGGGTCCTGGTCACCAGGGTGGGGAATTGTTCCCCGTACCCTGCTTCGTTGCCAAAGCTCCGGGGTTCCGTCGCAAGTTTCATGACCCACAGCCGATCCAGAGCATATCCTCTTCGAGTACGCCCAGCTCCTATAAAGGGAAGCACTCTTGGCTGTAAGCTTTGCCCCGTCGTTGGATTGCGTACCAATTGGACCTCCCCGATCCAATGGAGCGCTGTCCTTGGCCGCTGCTGGTTCTGCAGTTTGTGCACCACAAGGTGCACTGGCTTTTCTTGCCCCGTTGCTTCCTCTGGCTCCTGTCCCTCAGCTTCCCGCGAGGCCATGTTGTGGGCACCTGGTCCTTCTGCCAGCGTGACTGTACGAGGCTGGCTTTCGTCTTCCTCTTCATCAACACCCTCAGCTTGGTGCGAGGCCGCACTTTCTTCTCCTCTCTCCCTTAGGCGTACCGGACCCGCAGGAGGTTCCGAAGCACTCGCCTCGTCCCTATCCCAAGTCTGTTCCGGGTGTCTGGCCTGTCGAAGCGGGGAACGGTCTCGCATGGGCTCATCCTGCTGCTTGTGCTTGCCTTTGCCTTTGCCTTTGTCCGGCCGATTCCTGAGCCAGGATGGCAATCGGGACCCTTGTCTCCTCATCGTCGCGTCCGTTTTCCATTGCCTCATAGTTCCAGACCTGTCGTTTCCCTCAGCGATGCCGAATGCACGCAGCACCGCGAGGCCGAAAGTATCCCTCAGCAAAGCGAGGCCGGAAACACCCAGTCGCTATTCCCCGTGCGAGGCCCACACCCTCAGCTACGAGGCCGAAAACCCTGTCTCTTTGCTCCAAACGGCTGCGTAATTACTGCGTTCCCTCAGCTTGGCGAGGCCTAACAAACAGTGACATCTTTTGCTGTGCACTGGCTTGGGGCTTAGCTTTGGCGTGTTTTCCACCAAACTGAACGCGAGGCTGTTGAAACTGGACGTGGCTCATACTACCACCATTGACAAGGGTTTGCGCTTGGGTAGCCAGCTTGCCCTGGGAAGTCCGCGATTTGCACTCACCCGCCAGGCTTTTATTGCACCTCTGGCTAACCGGCGCATGTGTTCTGTCACACTTTGCGCAAACCCATCGGATCCCCAAATTCACCATATTATGGGAGGGGTGGATTCCCCACTCTTCCCGCACACGCGCCTCCGGCTGGTTGACGCAGTACTGCTCCAATACCACCTCCAAGTTCGTGAGGGTTTGTTGTACATACAAACCACACAGTCGGCATTTCAGGGTTAAATTCCGGGGGTGTTCGCTGCCCTTCTCCCATTGATGCCCACGCTCCGGGTTGTCAAGCAACTGCCAAAGCCGCTGGCGTTTGTTGAGTTTGGCTCCGCCATGCTCTTTTTTGCATCCCTCAGCTTTCTGCGAGGCTTCCATCTTCTCTTTGTAATGCGCATGGTCCAGGATGAAGGGGAAGTCTGCTTCTTTGCGCTTCCGCAATATGTGGGCTGCGCGTGCACCGTACGCCAGGGAAAGTGTGCGCACCACATTGTCCAACTCTTTGACACGCCTCTTGTGCGCTGGGCTGTAAGCAGCCGCCGCCACTGCTCCACATACTTTGTCTGCCATGTCATTCGCTGCACGTCGCCACAACGTGCCCGGCCCCATCTTCGCCAGGAATTCCTCTTCAGTTTTGTGGGACGGGACCCATGTTGCCTTGATACGCTTCCTGTCATTCCACACTTTGCTCCATTCCAGGTCATCCTCCGGCGGTTGTGTTTTTTGTAGCACTTGGACTGCCGGCTTGCAATCCATAGTGACATCAATCAGATCCTCCGTGTGCTCCATTAGTCGGAAAAGTGCACGGCGCTCCATGTCCACCACCGGCTGCCACGGGTAGACCAGCTCTGTAATCCGTCCGACTTCCACCAGCACACCTTTTGTCCAGGACATAGCCACCACTGCGAGGGCTGATGTTTGTACACGTGGGTCTATTCCTCCTGGACCTCCACTTGCGTCAGTGGCGAAGATCAAGCCTTCCGCTTCCACTTTTGCATCTGCTGCGAAGCATCCTTGGTAGCGCAGACCTAAAAGGTGTTCCGGCGGCTTCGGGTGCCACACCGCCGGCTTTGGCAGGAGTGCCCTTGTCCACAGACACTCCCATGGGTATTTGTGGCGCAAGTATTCCTGGAGCTTGGGTTCTTTGAACCCTTGTTCACGCCAGTAAGGACATTCTTTGAGGACATGCTCCAGAGTTGCTGGCATTTGGCACTTCTTCCACCATCCAGGCTTGGACTCCGTGATGACGCCCGCGTGCCACACTGACTTTATACCTTCCATAAGGCCTGGGCTTAGGCCTCCCATCTTCGTCAGCTTGTGATGCGGCGTCCAATCCAGCCCCTCTTGGGCACCAGCGCCACCTGCCTGTCGCGCTATTGCAGCCCGTTTCTGTTCCTCCAGGAATCCCTCAAGCCATTTGTAGGCGAGGCTACCCATGCGTGGCTGGGTCCAATCAACGTTGAGGACACTTCCTCTCTTCCATTTGCCTGGGTCACTGGCATCCACCTTCAGATCCATTAAGTACGCCATGGTTGCTGCCATCGGTCCCGTGACCAGTGGCCAGTGGTGTTTGGCCGCACTCAACCTCTTCCAAGTGGTTTTCCAGGCCAAGTCAAAGTGGGCTTTTCCGCCACCAATCCATGCACGGAAAACTTTAGCCACCACCTTGAAATGCTGCTTGTGGATTGTGCTCTTCGGATCCTGGCATTTCTTGGCTCCCATGTCCAAAATGGTTTCCAAACTACCAAGCTTGTATTTGCCCAGGTGTTTTCCAACCACTGTACGGAGCCATTTCATTCTTTTGGGTGATACCCCCACAGATGGGTGCCCCCACAGAGCCACGGATGTGATCGCAGCCTTAACCACGCGGAGTTTAGTGCTGGGCGGCGGCCCCAGCCTGGACAGCTTGCTTTGTCGTGCGTGTGCTTTTTTCGCCCGCGTGGCCGACGTCACCAAGCGACGCTTTCTCCCACCTGTACTGTCGACGCCCAAGTCACGCATCACGTCGTACACTTGCGGCTCATGCGGTAACAGTAGTCCTCGCAGGTGCTTGCTCGCCTGGGTACTGCTGGCTACAAACCCTGTCTTCTTGGATGAAATCGTGAAACCATTGGCGTCCATCCCGTCCTTTAAGCTGCGGTAGACTCGTATCGCACTATCCGCCGCTTGTTTAAAGGATTTATGCTGGATGTCAATTGAGACATCATCCAACCAACAATCCACATTTGTCACATCTCTTCGCCTTTGGATCTTATCAATCACCGGGTGCAATGCCACCTTTGCCAACGATGGCGCCGCTGGGCAACCCGCTTGCACGCCATTCGTAGCTCTGATGCCTGCCGATAGCACCCCATCCGCCACCAAATATCTGGCACCCATGTACACTTCCAGTGCCATCTTCAGGATTAGCGGTGGATATTGCAGGGCCGTTGCTGCCGTAATCAGTTGCTGAAATTGGATGGTATCGAAAAAGGACTCAAGGTCCACAAAGAGTGACACCACATGCACACCATTTGTCTTCGCCACCTCATTTCGCAGCAGTCTGCCTACGGCCACGTCCAAGCAGCAACTGCCTGGGACTGCCTTGTCGTACGTGGCATTTTTGGCATAGCCTGCCTGCCAAGTACTTACCAAATCCCATCGCAACCGGACCCAGGTCCTGTACAGGATGTGTAGCAAGGCGATTGGTCTTTCCCGGGTCAGATTCTTCGGCAGCATTGCTATAAGGGAGACTGTCATTTGCTGCGGCCATGCTGCCTTGGCCTCACATTCATGGTAGAAGGACACAACGGCTTCAACTGCTTTGTCGTCCATGGCCTGCAAATGGTCAATCCTCCAGCCATCCGGCCCCGGGCTCTTTAGTGCCAGTTTTTTGATCCTTGCCTTGACCTCTACAGGGTTCAGCGGCTCCACGCTGGCCGCTTGTTTTTTGGCTGCATCCTCAAGCTCCGTCATGAGCGAGGCCGATTTTGCCAACGGCTGGCCCTTCGTCCACACTGCCGCCCAGTGGTCTCGGCGAATGTGTGGCCGTTCCAGCATGTCATATTCCATGTAGGGTCTTTGTACCACTTGTTCTTCTTTTCGCAAGGCATTGTATAATGGTCGCATGCCCTTTTCCATGGCCTTGCTGAGCCATTGCTTGTACTGGTGGGCTGTCTCCTCCATATCCGCCTTTCTCGCGTAGCATTGCTGTTCGTCGATGCGCTTCAGAACAAGTCTAGCGTTCGTACCCCGGCCCAGGATACTCACGAGCATATCCTCCTGGTTCTGCGCATCACCCTCGTAATACTCGCCGAGCCTGCGTTGGACCAGACGCGCCACCGGATGCGCATCGCCATGATGTCTGCCTTGTTTGACCCATTGTTGGACCCGGTTCCAAAAGGCCGCCCTCTTGCCTGTCCAGACAACGTTCTCCGGGTTGTTGACCACCAATTTCTTCCGGACAATCTCCGATTTAACACCCATACCGTCGATTCGGCCTGTGATCGACCTCTCCACACCGGCACTCAGGTGAGCGAATGTCTCACTGAGCTCATCTTCCATCTTGGGTTCATCCAAGATGTTGATGGTCTGTGTGTTTTGAACTGGTTCGTATTCCACAGTCTCCGTCACCAGTGCTCCCGCCTTCTTCATCTGGGGAACATCAGGGCTACTACACGGTTGGGCTACCCTCCAATGCATCGCAGCATGAGGCCGAAAAGGGGTTTCCCAATCCGTTTTCACTTGCAGGATGGGCACCAAGCATTTCGCAACCAGCCCGTAATCGATTTCGTCCGATCCTTGGGCCGTTGGTTCCCCCACTCCAACAAATGCACCACCAACTTCTGTCGCCATAGTTGTGCCCCTCATGGTATCCTGGGTTTCATTCCAATCTCCTAACACCATGTATGGCACTTTGCAGCCTTTGAGGAAGGCTATCAGTCTCGCCAGTACCTGGACATTGTTTGGAGCCTGGAATCCGACTCCGCTCTCCAAATACAGGCTGACGATGATCAAATCCCAGCCTTTGTTTCGCATGGCACATGCCAGGAAGCCCGCGGGTCCTGAACCAAACTCAGCAAGGTATCGCAGGTTCCTGTGTCGGGGTGCCGCCACTGCCAGGCCTCCTTGCACACCCTTAATTTTTGTACTGCCAGGCATGCCAATGAAGGTATACCCCATATCCTGGCAATGGCTCATGGCTTGCTGGATACCCTCTGTCCTGAGATGGGTTTCCTGCAGCACCACCAGGTCCGGTCCTAGCTCGTGTATCCATGCCGCAATGGGTTTTCTCCAGCTGGTGATGTTAGCCGCAGTAATCCTGATACATGCGGCCGTATCCCCTTGGCGATACCCCCTGGCCACGTCTTCCAGGATCCATTTGGCATATTGTGCATCCTTCTCCACAAAGGAACGGAGCACTTCGTGGCATGCTCGTTGTTGCAGCGGGTTTAGATCTTGCTCTTCCAGTTTTTCAATGGCTTCGAGTGCGGTAGCCTCACTGGGAGCATCATATTGACCCACCACTTGGCATAGCTTGTGCCACTCCTGTGGCAGTTCCTTTGGTGGCTCTTTTGGTGTCGCGTTACGCCTCTTGGTCTTTTGTTTGCCTCTGTGACCCTCAGCGCATTGCGAGGCCGAAAACCTTATTTCCTCAGCGCCATGCGAGGCCTTCGTGTTCTCCCCTCTTTCCGCTGCCGGGTCTCCTCTCTGCGTTTTGCCTCCCTCAGCTTCTCGCGAGGCCGAATGCTCACCTTCCTCTTCGATGTCCTCCCATGTCATATGGAAGTATCTGGGCCCTGTGACCGTCCAACTGCTTTCTACTGTTCGGACAGGCTCCGGACCTTTCGTGACTGGACTCCAGCCCTCTTGGCTGTCTTCCACTGTGCTGTTTGTACTAGGCACATGGGTACTAGACACAGCTTGACTGCCTTCCCCATGCGCCTGTGGCCATACAATGTCCCCGTGACACTGCTTTCGGCCACCACCAAAAGTGTAAACAGAGTCTCCCCATTGAGACTCCTCAGACTGTCTTGCTTGCTTCTTTTGGCTGTTCGGACCAGGAGCTGCCCTGAGGTGTCGGCCCCTCCGCTCCTGTCCCAGCCTGAGGTTTCACTCGCCATGGGCACGCGCCGGCGAGCGTTCGCGCCCCGTCGGCGTTGCCCTGACTGACACATCTCGAGACATGCGCATCGGCCCATATATGCCAAGTTCAACTGGCATGCCCGGCTCTCTTTGTCCCAAGACTCCCGTCCAGTCTGTCTCCACGACCTTGACCGCCATCCTCGTTTTGAGCGCCTCTGCTTGCTCCTCAGACAGGATGATCCCTTCCTTTTCCAGGTAGGCCGCGACGTCCTTGTATGGCGAGTCCTCTTCATCTTTCACGCAGGCTTGGACCTTCTTCTGTGCTTCCGCTACCTCCAGCTCCGTGGTCTGGATGGCCTGGCTGACTTGCGCAAGCTGCTTCATGGCCTGCTCGAACTCGCTCTTGATCTTCTCCGTTTTGTCTTGAAGCCGGACTTTCTTCTCAATGAGGGATCTCAGCTTGTTTGTCGTCCGTCTATATGTACCAACATGGCGGCTGAGCTCCTGTTTGGGCGTCTCGTCTTCGGGCTTGTAGTCCCCCGGCGGGGGAATACCCGCTGCTCTGAGCAGCCTTTGCACTGCGGGCTCAGCTCCTTGCCACACCGCTTCAATGGCCGCATGGTACTCCTTTTGCGTCATGCTTTCGGCTTGCGATCCACTTCCTGGTAGTCCCGGGGGCCAAATGGGCCCCGGCTCCATCGTCCGCGGCTTCCATCCTGCTTCTTCGATGGCCTTCTTTGCCTCCATAGAAAGCGTACCCCACGCCTTCGTGAGGGCTTGGTCGGCCATCCCTTCTTTGTTCTTGGCATGTCTTGTCCACCATGTAGCGTCTTCCTTTGGCCATTGCCACTTCTTACGCTGGCTTGACCATGCTCGCTCACGGTAGGTGGCCTTTTTCCACGCCTTTCCGCAATGCCAGCAGTTCGGGTTGTAGTACAAGTCTTCATTCCAGACCCAGCCCACCTCACAGTGGGCACACACAGTACAATGCTTCCCCATGACTGCTGCAGCCTGATGCCAGTCCCACCAGCACCTCAGCAATGCGAGGCCGGAAGATTAGTGAGGCCGAACTTTATGTGTCCTCAGCCGGAGCGAGGCCGAAACTGGCCACTCCCTCTGCCGAAGCGAGGCCGAAAACACACCCTCTGCCGAAGCGAGGCCGAAAAGTTCCCTCAGCACTTGGCGAGGCCGTACTCAGGCAGCTATGTTGCTTGCGGCCGACTACCAAGCAAACACAGTGGTTTCGGTTCGAGTCCTGTGGGAGCCCACCCTTAGGTACAGTCTCCAGGCAACAGCACTCCCTACCTGAGCACCCCACCGGGGTTGAGCCGAAACTTGAGCCAAGGTGAATTTTACGTCTGCACGCTGCGAGGCGTAGCCACCCGAAGGGGCTGTGGGTTCAAGTGAAACAAAAGCTTACTAAAACTGTGGGGTGAAACTGCCGGTAAGTTCCCCCTCTCATTCCTTGTCCTCGGTTTTGACGTACCGCTACCCTCAACCGAAGTGAGGCCGGAATGTCGTTTTGACCAAGTCGTTGCCATTGGCTTGAAGACTTTGGCCAAGGCAAATTGCCTGTATGCTTGCACATTCTCTGTGTTGTCTATTCGGGAGGTGATCCATGCCCTCGTTCGTGGAGGCCGCTATCCCTCAACCGAATGGAGGTCATTCCTGTAGACCCAGATGCTCGTTCTACGAGTCTCATTGCATGTCCTGAGTGCTTCCATCCACACCCCTCAACCGTAGTGAGGCCGGACATGTCTTCAAACCAGGTCATGGCCCAAGGCTTCATGGACTCTGGTTACGGTGGCTGCCTCTTGCATGCACAGGGCATACTTCCTGTGGCTTTTGCCGGGAGGTGATCCATGCCCTCCGATTCTCAGAGGCCGCTATCCCTCTACCGGCGGGGTGGTCAATCCCCATACATAGACCGTTCCGATTGAGGCCCAATTCTGCACTTTCTCGTCATCTCACCTTGACGGATCCATGCCCTCGATTCACACATCTCCAACACGAGCCAAGCAGGAGGAACAGGTGAAGTACCTGCCCAAACATACCCCTTTTTAGGCTGGAGGACGCTAAGCGACCGAAATCGCCGCTACGCACCGGTGACCCCACGCCACACACCTTCAACAGGTGGCCGGTACAGGCGCCTGACAGGGGGCCGGGCAAGGTGCCGACTACCAGGTCAAACCCACCCTGCCTGTGAGGATATTATGTACGAGGCCGCTATCCATTGTGAGACTTGACATTCTCCAATCCAGCCGTAGCCATTGTTCCAAAGACAGTCGGCTGGCTCTCTTGTTTGCCACCAAAACTCCATACTCTCACTTGGGAGTCGATTACCCTCAACCGAAGTGAGGCCCACTCTGCAACCACGGGTTAGCTGCATGCTTGGTCCTTGTGGGCATTTCTGAAAGCAGTGACAACGAATCCTTCACGGAGTACGTCCCGGCTAATCCAGGGTTCTCAGCAGCTCCGGTGTTCTCGCACTTACTAACCGTGCCTTGCTGTTCTCCCCAGAATCGCCCTGGCTTTCTCGCACTTACTCACCAGTCGACGTATTCCTCACCACAAAGTTCACTGCCATTGGGACTCGAGGCTTCTCCAGTGCAATGCTGGTACCTGCTCTTTGCTGGCCTCCATGCCTGGCCAGTTTCCTTTATCCATATTCTGGAGTTTGCTCTTTCCATATCTCACATTCCCTCAGACCTAAGTCGAGGCCGAATGATTGCTTTGTGTGATTGAGCACTGCTGGGCTGCGGTTGTCTTCTATCAATTGCTCCGACACACCGGCACCGCGGAGTCTATGCTTCAAGCTCTTGACCGCTTTGCACCCAGTAGCATCAGCCGTCCAAGCTGCATGCAGTGCTTCCAGAGTCTCCAGGACTCAATTCCGGCAGACCATTCATTCCAGTGCCCGGTCTGCCCATTCCATGTCATGCTCGCAATTATCAGTCCCTCTTGTGCCCATGCGGCATCTTTTCCAGGAACTGCTTGTCATCATTCTTCCCTCAGCTGAAGCGAGGCCGGAACTTCATGCACCGTTCTTCATCAGCGAGGCGTTTTCGCAACCCTTCTGTTGTTCCCTCAGCCGTGGCGAGGCCGAACCATCCATTCCCTTAGCCCGGCGAGGCCGAACCTTTGCTCCAGCATAGCGAGGCCGAAACTGCCCTTGCATAGCCTCACATGGCATCTCCGCTGGTTTCACGGGTTCTGAAAGCATTGTTCTGCGAGGGTATGTTGATCACCCTCATTCCGGCAAGCTAAGCCTGCATTCGGGTTTGCCCTCACATGGCCCTTAGTGGCGAGGCTGTGCTCGCAATTCAATCCACTTCCACTTGCCTGGTTACTGGCCGGCGACATTCCATCACCTCAAAGGAGCATCCATTCCTCATCATCTTCCGACAAGGCCAGCATCCTTCTCGACACATCAGGGCCATACACCATTATCACCAGCCTTCCCAGGTATCTGATTACACGTCCGCTGCCATCAATCATCAGGGATGGGTCTGTGGGATCGACATAGAAATCGATGTTCCAAAGTCTCGCATCTTCACAGCATCGGAAGTTCCGGAGCTGCAAGTGGAGGTTAGCTGCATTCAGGCTTCTTTGGACATTCCAATTCCCACAGCTGCCCCAGGCTATGTTGCCTCTCCTGGTGCGACGGACAAAGTGGATACGATATGACTGCGACAGTTCCAGGAAGAGTCCTTCACTACGCCCCTGGTGTGACCATGCAAATACACAGCATGCAATTGCCGGCATGGTCCGTCGCTCTCCGTCTGCCTTGCAGCAAGTCTCTTTGGCGTGTGGCACACTGTCCAGGGCACAGTGGACGGCCACTTTGGTCGCCGATAGCCCACGGGCGGAATTCTGGGGTTGAGACGGGGCCCTGTTCCACCAAAGGAAGTTAAGGCCTCGGAACCCGATTCGCTCGCACAGGTCTGCTATCTTCTTGCACCTCAGTTCCAGGAGGTGTTTCCCTGAATGGTAGTGAGGCCGAACTATGTTGTCCCTCCGAAGCGAGGCCGAAGACTTTCCACAATCCTCAGCTCAGGCGAGGCCGACAACACCCTCAGCAGCGAGGTCGAAAGTTCCCTCAGCACTCGGCGAGGCCGTACACAGGCAGCTATGTGGCTGGCAGAACTACCGAGCAAACACAGTGGTTTCGGTTTGAGTCCTGTTGGAGCCCACCCTTAGGTACAGCCTCCAGGCCACCGATCCGCTCACTACCTGCGCACCCCACCGGGGTTGAGCCGAGACTTGAGCCAGGTGAATTTTACGTCTGCACGCTGCGAGGCGTAGCCACCCGAAGGGGCTGTGGGTTCAAGTGAAACAAAAGCTTACTAAAACTGTGGGGTGAAACTGCCGGTAAGTTCCCCCTCTCATTCCTTGTCCTCGGTTTTGACGTACCGCTACCCTCAACCGAAGTGAGGCCGGAATGTCGTTTTGACCAAGTCGTTGCCATTGGCTTGAAGACTTTGGCCAAGGCAAATTGCCTGTATGCTTGCACATTCTCTGTGTTGTCTATTCGGGAGGTGATCCATGCCCTCGTTCGTGGAGGCCGCTATCCCTCAACCGAATGGAGGTCATTCCTGTAGACCCAGATGCTCGTTCTACGAGTCTCATTGCATGTCCTGAGTGCTTCCATCCACACCCCTCAACCGTAGTGAGGCCGGACATGTCTTCAAACCAGG